GGACAAGTGTTACGACAGTGTTCCTGAGAGAATGCAATCCATACTGACTGCTGCCATGAATGTGACACGTAGAAGGTATCTTGCTGGACTACCACTGCTAGTAAGTGCTCTGATGTCATGTGGACATAACACAAGAAATCATCAGTTGTTCGCGCAAACCGGATCGCCCAAATTCTAACAAAGAACGCGAAATGTCACGTTGCTGCAACAATGCTTGAAGCGCAGACCGTACTATCAACACTATTTGAAAAGTTAGCTCAGTCGTTTCTCAGCTATTTTATTATAACACACGCGGTACGCGGCCTTTTTTCTCTGGACGGCGCTGTCTGTATTGTCCGCCGCATGCTGCGCAACGATTATAACTTTTTCATTTGAATCATACCCATTTCATTATATAAGCATTGATTGTATATCCTACATATTTACTTTATTTCAGGCAAATATTTGACCAATGGAATTACTGATTATCAATTGGGAAAGGGAGCAAGAAAGTGTCGCGAAGAAAAAAGCCACCGAGAGAAAAGAAAACATGGGAAGAAAAACAGACAAATGCTAAAACATATCAAGCAAAAGCGAACCTTACTCCAGTCGGCTCGGCTGCACCTTCATGCAAAAATCAGCCCAATTTTCGCCACGGTTTTTGCCACAGATGATGTCTTCCACATTTTCCATTTTCCCAATGAACTCAGGATTCCTTAAAAACATTAGTCCGTTAAGAGATAAAGTTCAAAGATGCTTCAGTGACAGGGCACGGCTTGATACAAGTAGGTGTTTCCCGTGTGACAGGGCCCTGGTTTTCATAAGAAAACAAGGAGGAATCCTCAGAGCTCTTCTGAAATCCGTATCATGTTAAATATTTAAATAAATTCTCGAGTACTGCGGGATTTGGTTCAAATTTCTCGCGATTGCTTAGTTGACATTTTGCGACGACCTCACCTTTTAAAAAGTCCGACAGCAGTTTTATCATACTGTCCCCTTAAGAAGTAGGATGTTAGCACAATAAAAAAGTTTGTGAAACAGAAGTGAAAAGTAATCGAAAAACGTGAGGTGGACGTATAATTTTGGGACGTCGGCTGAGTGGCCTTTTACACAAAAATTATTAGGAAAAATTCCTGTGATCTCAAATAGAAAGTTGATGTTCATAGGCCGGATTTATATTTGTATCATTTGTTCGAAGATATCTGAATTTGTGAGATTTTGAAATTCTTGAGTGGAATACAATTATGAGATGTTGCATATATAATATAACTACAAAATTAGCTCATTGCAGAGATTTGATTGCGCCCTTGCAAAAATGGCCTTCAAAAGCGAATGGTATCATGGGCCAAATAACGACGGGTGCGAAATGGAAGGGTGCTTAGATGTTGCCTATTTTATAGAAATCGAATATCTTCACAAATTTCTTGCCCAAGCGTTGGCGAATTAACTTCTGTGACCATTACGACAGCCTTTTCCAGTATAATGGGTACATGCCTAGAGGGAACGCTGATGAATATTATGGTAAACCAAACTGATCTACAGCCATGTAGAGGACGGGTAAGTTATGTTGCCCTCAATCCTGTTGGAAACCCACAAGTCAATCAACGTTGAACAAAATGCACTTTTGGCAGCTTATTCAAAATATTACCTTTTTGTTAATTTAAGGTGCTTAACGCAAAAGTGAAATTTGGATGTGTTGTGTTGCTGTCCACCAGAAAAAGTAGTGAGCACCATATAACTGTCCAGTGCTTGTTCGACTCGTAAGTGTTCACGCGGTGTTCAGATAAGGCACACATACGATTGTGAATTTTAGAAGCGTGTTTCCAACTACTGTTGCTAAGCCTTCCCGTCCTAGGCCTCCGGTCCTAGGCCTCCCCGTTAACTCAGTATGCTGTGAATTCAAGCCACCCGATAAGGACGATCATTGTTTTCATAGCGAGTCAAATGTTTTATAGGTTAATCAGAATAAAGAATTCTACTCAGTCAATTGCAGATGGAATCATAATGAAGGAATGCCATTT